TTTATATGACTTAACCTTTGTTGTGGACTACATCTTGAAGACCCACTCTCTGCAAACGAATCTGTCTTTTTATATTTATTATCCTTTTCCATTATCTATTGCCCTTTTTACCTTTTTTTTTATTTCAATTTCAGATCTTCAAATTTAGAGCAATAGTGCATTGTGTAAATCAGGTGGAAAAAAAATTAAAACATACCAATGGCTTTCTTTCCTTTTTTTCTTTGTAGGGGAAATCAGTATAAAACCATAACATGAATAACTGAATTTTATTTGCATTAAACTTGAATAAAGTGGTCACCTAAAAAACAAAACAGTTTAACGGCAACGTGCAGGGTGTGTATTTGAGAATAATCCATGCTCAATCTAGTATTTGCATGGCTTGTTCCTTGGGATCAAGGTGGCTGGTTTAATTGAGCCTCCACTGGACCTGAGCCTAGGAAAAACAGGCAGATGAGCATCGATAAACTATGAAATGGTTCCAATATAACCAATCAATGAGGCGTTGTGAGCAGCTCCCACAGGGCTTTGATTTTTCTCTCAAACAACAATCCGGGAGCTCTGCTTTTCAAAGGCAACCCCGACTTTGCCGTTATTGTTGTTCCTTTCCACATGTTTGAGTGATGTCAACCAGGTCGATTTCATCTGTGTCCATAAAGGCTCTCTCACACTTTAGTCACCTGGGAGACAACTTCTGTCAGTGTGTGCAATGGTAACAACCAATAAAGGTCAATCTCCCATGGCAATAGCCAATTGGGTTGGTTCCCATTATTGCCCCTCTGAGTTGTGGTCAACAGATGGAGAACTGACTTCACTGAACCCTTTACAAACAAACCTTTAGAAAATATAGCTCTATATGTATGCATGACTGCCTGGCTTTAATTTATTTTGTTGGGTGTTGGTCTGCACAATAGTTGATCATATGCAGCTTCTGATTAAGGGGGGGGGGGAATCTTAGTAAAGTTATAGGAGTACTGCTACTGTGGGCTAAGCATCTAACCATTTCATCTAATTGCCTCATTAATGATTCACTGGTGGTAGGCTGCTGTAGCGCCTCGCTGTGGTGAGCAAATTGTTTTGATTGGTTTGCTTCTGTCAATTATTGATGAGGCAGAGTGCTGAAGTGCTAACACCTGGCTTTGGAGGTCCAAATGACCCTGCATCCCATTGCATTGTTATCACAAAATCAGTCTTGAAGGGCTTGAGGCTCAGTGATTGTTGTTCTTAGACAGAGGTTAGAGAATGTCCCATATTAGATGTTATTAGATTTTAGCGCAAAGATGAAGAAAACACCACTATTTTTGATTGGGGAAAAAAAAACATAATTTAAACAGTGACACAATACCTTCATCTATCCCTATGACTTTGAAAATATGTGTTCAATAAATAAGAATTATAAGAAAAATAATATGATTTGTAAAGTTGTGTACGATAAATATGGCTATGTACAGTGGTTGCAAACAGTATTTTCCTAATTTTAGGCTTCTTTGGTAGTTTGTCACACAGAAACTATTTGGACCTTCAAACTCATATTAGACAAAGATAACTTAGAATCAGTTTTGATGTGATGATTTGATTATAAAATGAAAATAGTGGCTTATGCCAATTGGTGGCAACAACTTACTATCCCACTCTTAACTGCAGAACAGCTATAACTGCAGTATTTTAGGATTTTCAAAAAAAATTGGGTTTGTCTCAGCTCATGCCTCAATATTATTAACTAGATTGTTGTCCAGACTTTGATAAGGACTTTTTTAGAGAATGCTAATTTGCTTCAGATCATTGTCCTGCTGCATAACCTCAATGTGGTTTGATTAATTGTGGCAAGTCATCCAGCTTTTAAAACACAATATTTGTCCTAGTCCATGTTTTTTGTGCACTGGTGGCCTTTATACCAAGTATTCATAGAGCATATGAAGAGAGAGAGAGAAGGGGAATATTGGGAGCCCATTATAATCAATCCTAAGCTCTGCCCATGAAGTATTTTCTATTACTCAATAATAAAGACCAACCTGAATTACCGGTAACTCTTTTTTAATTTGTAATTGAAAAATTGTTGTAATAAGATTCACTTCAGGCTTAAAGATCATTTACCTCGCTGCAATTATAATATATTTTTAGCTAAATGGTAAAAATGCTTCAGAGAAAATTAATTCACTGTTTTTCAGTTACATGGGTTATGTGCACTTCAAAACCCAGAAAAACATATATATTTTTATTATTTACTTCCTTGTTTTCTTTTTTTGTAACAATGCCACAATGTGGTGTTCCTGAGTTTTGAGTGTAAGATAAAAAAAGAGTAGAAATATAAACAAACGTGTAAGTATGTACCATCTCCTGCTGCTGAAGCTGCATCTCTTCCAGCATCTAGTCCTGTTTTAGCACAGAGATACTTCACAAATCTATGTGTGGCTGGCAAACATTCTATAACTCCCTACGAGATCTAAATAATACTTGATAATACCCTCAAAATTCTCTTCATCAATGTTTCTTTTCACAGAAACATTACAGCCTTCTCTTTATGTTTTCAATTTTCTTACATAGCGATTTACCCCCATCAGTGCAGCTTTATATTTATATATATATATATA